GGTGTTCAAAGAAGCAGCTTACAGTCTCAAGATCATCTTCTGAAGCGGAATATAGAGCTTTGACACGTTTATCATTTGAACTTCAATGGTTCCAATATATGTTCTATGACTTGCGCATTCCTTGGTCCAAACTAGCATCTGTATATTGCTACAACAAGTCTGCCATATTTCTTGCTCATAACCCAGTCTTTCATGAATGACCTAAACACATAGACATTGATTGTCATGTAACAAGAGAGAAGATTAGCTCTGGTTTGATCCACTTGCTCCTAGTCCCCTGCAATGCTTAGCTAGCTGATATCTTCACAAAGCCTTTGCCTTCAAAGGTTTTCATTCGTGCTATACTCAAGTTGGGTTTATTCAATTTGCATAGTCCCACTTGCATGGGGGAGGGGGTCATACAAGAGAACAAAGAAGCTACCCAAGCCCAATATAATGCAACCAAAGTTCAAGATCCTGAAGCCCAAATTTAGAGAAGCAAACCATCGCGTGTATCACACATACAAACTACTAACCATTACAAAATACATTAGCCACATCAGCTACTTGACTTATTTTTAGTTAAAGAGTTTGTTATACAACTCAGTTATGTAGTCAATTAGTTTAGCTACTATGCGCGCATTTACTTTTCTTTCGTGATGTATATATATAGTCACTCATGTTTTGTGACTCTCAAATAATGAAAACAATGGAATTTTTCACATTTCCTCTTCCATTCTTTCTTTGCTCTTTGAGTTTCAATAGTAAGAATGGTGGGCCATAAGAGAGTGTGGGCCAGTGGTTGATGGCGTTGGAGATGATGAAGGGTTTGTTTAGTCATTAGACAAGATAAAGCATGGATTTTTTTCCTAAAAAATGTGAAAAACTTTCTCATTTCACGGTAATCCAAGAATACCAAACATTCTCGTTCATAAAATAAATTAAAATAGTGACAAATGTGCCACGTTTTTGGTATTTATATACCAAACTGCCACGCGAACAGTAAAATTTATTCGACTGTCACAAGTTGAAGTTCCCTATGACTGGTAGCGAACTTGGTAGCTAATCATTTCTTGACACGTGGCACACTTTCGCAGGAAAAGCTGACTGCCACTTGTCCAAGTTCACAACAACTTGGAGCGAACTTGGTAGCCAATGATTTCGTGACACGTAGCACACTTTCGCAGGAAAATCTGACTGGATTAAGTTTGCTACCAAGGGGTAGCGAACTTGGTGCGCTCTGTGGCACAATCTCATTGCCCAATTAGAATTAATGTACAAATCACAATCAAAAAAAGAAAAAGAAGGACCAATTATCAATCATAATTAATGTACCAATTACCAATCATAATTAATGTATCAATCATCAATCACAATTAATTTTGATCACAAATAACGGACCAATTATCAATCTTAAATAATGTACCAATCAATATTAATTTTGATTGGTACATTAATTGTGATTGCTGATTGGTACATTAATTGTGATTGGTGATTGGTATATTAATTGTTTGTGATACTATTATTACAAATTCGAACGATATTTTGTGAGAGATAAAATATACCAAATGAGTTGTTATTGTGTATATCTCGAAAAGTTATATGAAATAAAATAAAAAATCATGTGATTTGGATATCCGAATCAAAAGTTATGGCCTTCCGAAGTGATTGATTATTGCTACATTAATTGTGATTGGTACATTAATTAAATAGTCTTTTTTCTTCGTTTTCTTTTTTTGATTGTGATTGGTACATTAATTTTGATCGGGCAACAAGATTGTGCCACGTAGCACACCAAGTTCGCTACCCCCAGTAGTGAACTTAGTCCAGTTAGCTTTTTCTGTGAAAATGTGCCACGTGTAACGAAATCCTTGGCTACCAAGCTCGCTATCAGTCGTAGAGAACTTAGACACGAGACAGTCAACTTTTCCTACGAAAGTGTGTCACATGTCACGAAATTATTGGCTACCAAATTCGTTACAAGTCATAGCAAACTTCAACGCATAGAAGTCTGATAAAAAATATTGTTCGTGTGACAGATTGGAAAAAAATTGCCAAAAAAGTGGCAGTCTGGTCACTATTCAAATAAATTCTCGTGAATGTGATTTTCCCAGAAAAATTTTCACAATCCTTATACCAATTATGGGTAAATAAAATTCTCAATATCAATTTTCCGAGAACTACAAAAAAAAACTCTACCAAATACCTCCTTAAACCAAATTAAAGTAAAGTATTTCTCAACTGAAATATTATGAATAAAAAATAAATAACCTAAAAAAGCTGACAACGTTAACTCACTCTTTACGGGAGTGTTTAGTAAAAGGTTCTTTTTAGGATTCTCAGGAATTTGAAGGTGCTAATTTTTTTTACCTACGTTTAGTATGAGATTTCTAAAATTTTATCTGGAATCTAATTTTCTCATGATTTTATTTTGTGAGAATTTTTTTTTGAAAATACCATCAAAGAATACCACTCATGGGTGATATTCTAAGATTTCCATGACAAGAAAAAATTTAACACAACCAAACATAACATCAAAAAATTTAACCCAATATTTTCAATAATATTTTATTCTACCAAATAACTTTTTGATAACATTATCAGAAAACTCATTTTCTCAATATATTTTTAGAAATTGTGATTCCCGGATAATTTTTTTTTCCCTTAACCAAATGCTCACTAAGTCTTTTTTGAGTGAAAAATAATAAATAAAATTAATGACATAAATTCTTATGTATGCCTCGCATTTAGGCATGGCAAAATGGAGCCAACCCATCATAACCCAGCTAAAATGAGTCGATTGGGTTAGGAAAAATGAGTTAGTAACTCGAGTCAGCCCGACTCGTTTCAGCTCGAAAAAAACCGAGCCAACCCACGGGTCAAACGGGTTGTCTCGCGGGTTATGATTTTTTTTTAATATAAAAGTATTAAAATTAATGAAGATAAAGTGAAAAGCTAAAACCTAAAATTTCAATTCCAAAGACCCAAACAAAAATACCCTGTTGCTGCCAATAAGTCCAAAATCGTGTATTAAGGACCTTTTTTTATAGTATGTGTGACAGTGTGAATGTGGTGCTAATTGTCAATAAGTCCAAGTTCAAATGCAAAATTTTCTATGGTTTATCAGTATAATGTTTTTGTATTGAATAAATTAATAATTTAGAAAAAAAATTAGAAGTTATAACATCAATGGAATTTTACTTTTTTTTTCTATTTTTTTGAGTCAACCTGCGAGCCAACCCTAACCCGACTCGAGTCGGGTTAGGTTGAGTTTTCTGACTCGTTTATTGTTCGAATCAACCCTAACCCGACTTATTTTTTTCGGATTAAACGCGAATTGAGTCGGGTTGACCTGTTTTGCCAACCCTACTCGCAGCTGAAAAACAAAAGCCAATTGTTTTCTATTTTTATTATTTTGTTGGTCACGAGTCACGTCAATGCAAAGTGCAAACGATTAGCCACATGCTTTTGAGTTTTGACTAATAAAGTAAAGACCGTTTCCCCCTGTCCAGGCTAGGATTACGTATTCATTACATAAACTTCAGGATTATTTATTTACACATATTTTACTTAACAGTTTTTAATCGAAGACAGAAATCCTTCGTCCATTTATCATTTAAAATGGTGAGGGGTTTATATTATTCGATTATTAGAAGCTTCACGATCTTTTGATCGGTTATGACAATAAAAATCATGATGCTTCATGAATAAATAGTTTGTTTTCATGTTCTTTAACTATAATTTTTTTTTTTTATTAATGAACCAAATTAAATTGTGAACTGTGATTTAGTTTGATTCAATTCGCAAGAACTCGTGATTTATTTTATAAAATTTCCGAGGAATATGCTAATAAAGTTGCTCTACCTATTCCTAAACAATTAATTAAGTATGATTTGATTAGTTTCAACTGTTGAATATGACTAATATTTCGTATGTATATGAGGATTCTTATTGGGTATAGTTGTGGGTCTCAAATTTATTTTATTTTATTTCAAAAGGTGAACCAAAATAAATATGTGTCTTCATTATTTCTTCCTTACTTTACTTTTTATTTTGCAATTTTGTGTGCAATTGTTCCGTATCAATACCTACTCAATTTTAATTTGCAGTATTATATAATTCAGAAGACCTATTTAAAATAAGATCGGGATGAAGGTCAATTAAACATAATTTTTACCTTTAAATTTTTTAAACCCGTAAATTTTCAATTATAAAAGAAAATTTTATTATTGCTCCAAAACTCACCCTAATCATATATAACTTGATACAAACTTTAATAGAAATAAAATCATTGGCATTTTTCTTTGAGGTAGGATATTGTAACAACTAATTAATTTTATTATCAAAGTTCAATTAATTTTACAGTTAGATCGATTATGTTGATCTAACAGTTATATTTATTTTCATCTTTTTATGGTTATAATTCCACATATTTAATGTAAAAGTATTAAATATGGAAAATCATAACCATACAAAGATGAAAATAAATATAATCGTTGGATTAATTTAATCAATCTAACGATAAAATTAATTGGTAGTAATAACACTAATTGATTATTACAATATCTTTTTCTTTTTCTTTTAATGAAAATCACAAATACGACTTGTTCCACTTATAAGATTCTACGGCACAGAAATATAAGCAAAAGGATCTTAGATTGACGTACGGGAAAATGCCATTGGTATATTTTGATAATGCAAAATTTATTGGGTTGGGCTTAGAAGAGGATGGAGATGACTAATTCAAAAGGGGGTTGATGATGTCATGGCTAAAAGTGAAACCATCATAAATATACCCAAAGGGAAGAAAAACACTTATTGGGGGGCACAAAGACGTTTTCTTGCTCCTGCAACCGCGTGGAAGTTTCCAACCAATCCCACCTCATCAAACTTTTCTAATTTCACTCGGCAAATCTCTCTTCTCATATCTCTTTAGCAATAAACAAACTATTGCATATATATTTATGTATATATATATATTAAGTGAGGTCATTCGAAATGTACAAACACACAAAATAAAAAGTACGAGGAGCTACTAGCACCACCGAAAAACAATATGGAGAATCCCCCAACCGGTTTTCGATTTTACCCAACAGAAGAAGAGCTAGTTGTTTTCTATCTACACAACCAGCTACAAGGCCAAACAAACGACATAAACAGAGTTATCCCAGTCATTGACATCAACGGCGTAGAGCCATGGCACCTTCCAAGTACAATAAATAAAGTTTTTGTAACTCATGTGATTCATGTTTACTTTTCAAACCCAAATGTGTTTGCTAAAATGATTTTGGTTTCTTGTGATTACGTTGTTGCAGCACTTGCAGGGGAGCTGTGTCATGGAGACAGAGAGCAATGGTTTTTCTTTTCACCAAGACAAGAGAGAGAAGCCAGGGGAGGCAGACCCAACAGAACCACACCTTGTGGATATTGGAAGGCCACGGGTTCTCCTGGCCACGTTTACTCTTCTGACAACACTATCATTGGGATTAAGAAAACCATGGTGTTTTACCAAGGGAAAGCTCCTAGCGGAACCAAAACCAAATGGAAGATGCATGAGTACAAAGCCATTGATCACTCTCACCAATCCAATACAGCCCCTCCTAAGGTATATTGTATATACAAGGATTTATTGATTTTATCTCCTATACATAAAAGAACCATGTTTTTCTTTTATTTTTTTTCTTTCCCACACACTTTTATATACGTAGAAGATAATTTTATCTCCTACAATATGAGAGACATTAAACTCATACAATACAACTGCTTTTATGTTATCGTAGCATTTTCGTATATATTTTTAGGGTAAAGGATTTCTCCGGTCAATAGAGATATGTTGTCTCCGGTGATACCAAAACGACGTCATTTTGTAGCAGAAATAAAAAATCAAGGATTTTTTTGTAATTTTAATATATTGCAAGATTATATTAGTCTTTATCATTATAATTTTTAAATCTTAAAACCTTAAAACGACGTCATTTTGAATTCACTGAACATAACTTTGTCTCCGATTACTGGAGAAATACTTTTCCCATATTTTTATAGGCTTTAATGTTTCTAAAGTGAATGTAGATAAGTTATCTACATTCGCTCGCAAAACGACGTCGTTTTGGGTTGAAAAATTAAAAAATTATAATGAAAAAGACTATTATAACTCTGAAATAAATTATAATTACAAAAATACCTTAATTTTCGCCTCAAAACGACGTCGTTTTGGACTCATTGTAGATAAGTTACCTACATTAACTGAAGAAAAAGCGAACCCATTTTTATATTATATTTTTCTAAGATTTTATTTGCATAAAGCCTATTGAAATTCAAGGATATACAATACACACATCCTTTTACTAGTGTCAAGATGGTGTCAATTTAATATAAAAACTTAAACGGTTAGTGAAGACTATATTGATAATTTTATATTATATATTGTTTTTTAATAGTTAAGGCACGAATTCAGCTTGTGTCGCATTTATGTCGTATCGGGAAGCTTTCGATCATTTGATCGACGGCCACTAGAGACTTCAAGAGAGTCACGAGTTGATGGGGACATAGGTGCCGCTTCAACAAGTGCTCAGCAAGCAGGGGTGGATGCATCAAGCTCGTCTGAAACTTGTCATTCAGGAGGAGGAGTTGAAGGGTCAAGTGGTACAAATTGTAATGAAAATAACGAGGCTGAAGAACCTCTTTGGGAATGGGAACAGCTTAATTGGCTCTAACCTGTGAGTCAAGCCTACGGCTACCAAGACCATTTCATTGAGTGTAACATGATCATTGTATTATGTTTTAGGCATAGTCGGCGGGTTCAGCTTAATTTCCTTCACGTCATAGGGATATGTAACATGATCATCATATTTGGGAACAGTGGCCAAAGTGCCACTGTTGGCAAAAAAAAACATCAAATGTCACATCAACATTAAATTTTGTCAAAATATCACATGATGTATTTCACTACACTGTGTAGCGAAATATGTGTGCAAATAATTCACTACACGGTGTAGCGAAATATACCACGTCAGAACCAAAAATGCCACGTGTCAATTAGGGAGAATTTCGCTACACAGTGTAGCGAAATTCTTTCTATCTGACATGTGTCATTTTTGGTTCTGTGTATTCTGACGCGGCATATTTCGCTACACCGTGTAGCGAATTATTTGCACACATATTTCGCTACACAATGTGACGAAATATGCCACGTGATATTTTGGCAAAATTTACTGTTAGCATAACATTTTGGTATTTTTTATTCAACAGTGATATTTTGGCCACTGTTACTCATATTTGTCGTGTAAGAATAGTATTGATTTTTCCCGGGGAAAATAAATTATATATATATAAGCTCCACGTAAAAAAGGATGGTAGCTTTGCGTCTTGTCAGATTGCTTTAATTAGTTTGTTTGTAGATGGCTTAGTCTTGTAACGTTTTCCAATTTGAATATTATATCAATCTCTTTTTCGCCCCTTTTTAACCTTTTTTTGCAAACTGCGGAGTTGAAATGAATTGACATGTACGTAAATGTTTCTTTCGCTATATAGTTCATTCATATCCATAGTGAGAAACTTGAAAGGATTTTCAAATAGCATGCTTAAGTGGGTTCAGATTTCGCAGGAATATAGGCAATAGTCAATGATCGTGCGTTTTTATATTCATCTATTGAATATTGATAAAGTAGTCAAATTCCCATTGCTTTCCCTACAGCTGGGATATAATTAATGAGACGTGCATATTTAAGCAAAGATTTTCAAATGCATGTTCAATTGTTCGCATTAGCGCATTTTGTACAAAGTGTTTGTTGCTAAACGTATGTGTGGATTATGTCTATAAATTAATCGCCTTATAAATAATTGAAGAAAAAATGTATAAGAATTGAGAAATTAGAAAATTAAAGTCCAACTGAAGTTCACTTCTAGGACAAATAAAGGGTAGGAAATGTCATCCAGAGTCCATGATGATTTACTTGAGCTCCACCTAGAAATTTATGTTAAGAATTATTTTCCTTTATAACCGTCAATGTCAAAATTGGTATTGTGACTTGAGCGTAGAGACCAACTTAACTCCGTCCTTATATATATATATATATATATATATATATATATATATATATATATATATATATGGAGAACATGTTTATCATTTTAAATAACATAATTTTTTGTCATTTTAAATGAAAATACGTCATTTTGTTGTATTTTATCATTTTAGGAAGAAAAAAAAGTGGAGGAAAGAGAATGTAAAAACATAGCAAAACGATGTAGTTCCATTATTCATATTGCATGTGACTGTCCAAAGATTAAAAAAGTTTGGTCTGATCTTGTAAGGCCAAATTTGATAAATGATTTATTTGATACTGAATTAGATTCTTGGCTTTCCTTAAATATTCAAAATGTATCTATTTTGTGCTTTGATGCCCCTTGGTCGTTGGTTTTTGTTGTTACTGTTTGGTTAGCTTGGCAGTGGAGAAACAATCAGGTGCATGGTGTGAAAAATAACAGGAAAGCATACAAGGTGCAGTCCGTAGAGAGTCTGGTTTGTGAGTATACACAAGCCTAGATAACTTCTAAGGGGACAGAGCTGACCAAGAAATACATTTCTGTTCCTATTAGATGGTTACCTCCGGACACAGGTTGGGTAAAACTAAACACAGATGGTGCAACCAGTAGTGATGGTAGAGGTGCTGCTTGTGGAGGAATTATAAGAGATGCAAATGGTTATTGGATAGAAGGGTTTGCTTACTATATTGGCCATTGTTCAGCTTTTGTTGCAGAATTATGGGGCGTCCTCAAGGGTCTTGAATTTGCTTGGGCTAGAGGTTGGAGACGCTGCATTCTAGAAAGTGATTCAAGCTTAGTTATCACTTTGCTCTCCAGCAGTGGAAGAGCATCTCGAGAGTCTCGCTTAGTGACTCGGATTCGAGCATGGTTACAAAAGAATTCAGAAGTTCACCTGGTTCATGTTTTTAGAGAAGGAAATAGTTGTGCAGATTAGCTTTCTAAATATCCTTTAGACTATCCTCTTGAGAATAATTTTTGTGTTTTTTCAAACTCTCCCCCTGATATTTGGCCTTTATCTTGTAATTTCAGAACGATTTTATTGAATTGATCTCTTTGGGGTGTTGTTTTTAACCCTCTTAGATTACCAAAAAAATGACAACTATATATATATATATATATATATATATGGGATTAATGTTTCTCATGTTGTAGGAGATAATTTTATCTCCTATACATACATAAAAGTGTGTGGGCCCATGTGTTTTGTCTCTTATCTTCACATGGGGGGTCCACATGGGCCCACACACTTTTATGATTTTGTAGGAGATAAAATTATCTCTTGCAATATGAGAAACACTAAACCATATATATGCTTAGCCCCATTCATCTTTGATGCAAGAGCACTGATTAGTGAGCTATTATGTACTTTCAAATGTGTTTGCTTCTAAGCAATTGTCTCTGCACCACTTTTAATCACTCTCTCACTGAGCAGTCTTTCCTAGTTGTCTCTATATCCTTCTCGACGATGAGGCTTATCCCTTATCATCTCATGGGCCGACCTTGACCCTTGTTATTTGGAGGTCATATCTAGTATTTAGGGTTTGCCTTGATATGGTACCGCTTTCATGTGGCTTGCTGTAACACCCCGTGTATACCCGGTTTGTTATCATGTCATCGTATTAAGCTTTGCTTAATTAAAAATGTAGAATAACTTTTTCTTTTCAATTTTGACGTCATTATCAATTACCAAGTTGATTACTTAATCCTTTTAAAAACCTTGCATGTACGTAATTGCAATTAAACAGCTATCTACACTGAATAACCTCATAATATAAATATGTGAGTACCTAAATCACGGAACTACAACACGCAGTCAGGACCATAATCCTAATACATTAATATAACTCGAATCTAAAATAAGACATAATCAATCAATGTGGCATGGACAATCCTCATGCTCACCCAATAAGGCAACAAAGTCCAACACCATATAATTTAAATTTTTTAAAAAACTTGCTTAAGATAGAGAGTTTACACTTTTCAAAAGAATCCAAATTATTATATGAAGTACACGTGGCAAAACTTTTAACATAATGACTTTGAATTATAATATAATATAGATTTTCCTCTATTTTTTTTTTACTATTAGTTTTTTCTATAAGTGTTGTAAGTTTTCAAAACATTTAATCTTAATTTTTAGTCATCACTCTATTTTCTTCTTGTAAAAAGAGTAAAATAGGTATATTAGTTAAAATTCTATCCGTTTTAATGAGAAATTTAGATGGAAAAATTATGGAGGATAAATGGTTAGAAAAATGATAAATAATTCAAAGTAAAACCACAATGAGATTTTTGAAATTTTCTCAAATTTTTAATATTGCAATCAAATAGGATTTGGATTCTCTTACGTATGTAAAAGTGGTTATGTTATTTTATCATAATCACTACTTTATAAATCATATATTTTTTTTCTCTCATCAACAAGTGAAAAATGAGATGATTCAAATCCACCAAAGTATATGTAGAATTGCGGTTACTTTTTTTTTACCGTAACTAACTATTAGATTTATTATATGCTTTACCTAGGTTTCACAATTTTGTTATTGAAATAAAGGAAAAAGTATTTGTCATTTTAAATGATATAAGGTTCTATTATTTTAAGAAAGAGACAGACACATAATTTTTTTATTTAAATTTTAAATTAAAAAAAATCACTCACTTTCTCTCTTTCATGATTTCTGTTTTTTTTATCTATCTTTCTCCTAAAATGACATAACTTATGCCATTTAAAATGACAAACACCAAACCCTGAAATAAAATAATATAAAACTAATGACAGTATAAATATTTTGGTCAACTTTTTTTATGCGAAAATATTTTTTCCATTAACCATCTCAACAAATATTAACTCATATCAAAACAAAGTATGAATTTTAACAAGTAAATGTTTAATCCATCGTAAAATCAGAATTTAAATTTCCATGCCATATTGTTTCAAATGATGCGCAATTAAAACGTAAATCACATTTAATAAGCGTTGTTGATTTAGATCAATTTCGAAAATTTATTTTAAACATGAATTGCTGAATGCTGAGAAATTCAATTCCACGAGACTGTGGAAGGTATAGGAATTCGATTCCCGATGGCGATTCTGTACGCATTGGTGGCGAGAGGCACGGTGGTGCTGGCGGAATTCGGCGCCGTCACCGGCAACACCGGCGCCGTGGCTCGCCGGATACTCGAGAAGCTGCCGGGAGAGGCCGACTCCAGACTTTGCTTCTCTCAGGATCGCTACGTCTTTCACATTCTCCGATCCGATGGCGTCACCTACCTATGCATGACCAACGACACCTTCGGAAGTGAGTATTTCTTCTTCTTCTTCTTCTGTTTCCTCATGATTTCGATTCGAGATTATTATTGTTGCAACTGGTTCGAAGTGCAAAACGTTTAGTTCAGTAGGTATTGGAATGCAAGTGTGGCTGTAATGATTAGTGTTGAAGAACAAGTAATAATTTGACATTTGTGCATTTTGATTAGAAAAGTAGTAAATGAATAAATAAAAAATTAATTTGTGTTTGTGTAGATTAAAAAAAAAAAAAAAAGAAGTTTGTGAATGTAACACTTTTCTTTTCATATTTGCTTCTGTGTCAATTCATCAATTGTGAAATTTAATTACTAGGTGCAGATAAATGTATGTTCTTCAGAGTCATTTGCTACTTCTAATGAATGTTAGGGACTAGCGTTCTCTTTGATAGCTAGAATAAGTTCCGTGGACCTTAAGTAACTACAGGATCCATGCAATTTTTCAAAACATGCTCCATGTTCTGTAGGTGATGTGGTATCAGACCTCCAAAAGGACCAAAACAGAAACAGTCTGTCCCTACTTTGACTGAAAATATTAGGATGCCAAAGAACCTAGCAAAACTTATTCTCAATATGTAAACTGTTTTTTAGGGGCATGCAAATGGTGAATAAAGTTGTGCTAGAGTTGTTTGATTAAACCACACATCTTTTTTTCCCTATGTGATAGCACAACTTTAACTTCACACACAAGAAAATGTTGAATTTAGAGGCTTCCAGAACCAGCCGGAGGCCAAGCCCCATCTCCAACTAACAAGTCTTGTACATTTATATGTGGGTTCTAGTTATCTGGCTGTCAAAAAGGCGTTATCCTTATTTCCAAGTGTCTGTATTATATATATAATAGTCCAGCGATCAATATTTATTCGGTTAGAGTGGTTCATCATCGTTTGGGTTATTCACCAGAACATTTTGGGAATTTGCTAGTTTAATTCTAGCTCCTTCCACCTCAGTTTATACTTTTTGGATCATTGAAGCTCTTCTTATTTATCTTAAGCTAATTGATGAAACAAACATTGTGTAATATTTGGTAATGATGAACTGAAACCTCCTATCAGCAATTGTCCACGTTTATGATGTTCCTTTTTCTCTTTATCCAGGGAGAATCTCTTTCTCGTACTTGGAAGATATCCAAATGAGGTTTATGAAGAACTATAGTAAAGTGGCCCACTACGCACCAGCTTACGCAATGAATGATGAGTTTTCAAGGGTTTTGCATAAGCAAATGGAATTCTTTTCTAGTAATCCTAATGCTGATACCCTCAATCGTGTGAGGGATGAAGTTGGTGAGGTAAGTGTATTTCAAAGCAAACACACCCACCCCACCCCACCCCACCCACACATTGCTTTGTCATGCATCATCACCATTTTATGTATCTGGCACAAAGATAGATGAATGAGTGCTTCAGTTTATTTAATGAGTACCTTATTTTCTGCTGGTATGTTTCCGCTCTATCCCTTGCTCCTATTTTAGGTATGGACTGTAAGTGACAGATTAACTAGGGTAATATATAATCTGGTTTGTGGGACCATTAAAAAAGAAGAAGAAGAAAAAAACAAAAAAATTATAATCTGATTTATCTATATTTGTTCCCCCAATTTGTACTTTCAGCGAAAATGTCATGATATGAGTTATTATAGAATTTACCCAGGATAGAAATTTGGTAAATTAAGCAGACATTGTGTACCGCTTGCTTTGAAAGGTTCCATTTCTTTCTAAGGACTAAGGAGCATGGTTTTTTACAAGGTTGTGATGGCGAGAGAGGCTGTACTGGCTAAGCTATATGACTTTTTTTGTATTGGAAATCATCATATTTTGCTTACTTTACAGACATGTTTCTGAAGAGACTATCGGTTTTCAAGTTGTATAGATGCTATTCTATTTTTAAGTTTATTGAATAGATGTTTCCTATGATATTATCGTATGTGTAAGACAATTTAAATCCCTTCACATAGTTGGTGACATTATAACTCTCAATCTGTCCCACAGATACGCACTATCATGGTAGAAAATATTGAGAAAATATTGGAGAGAGGTGAGCGGATTGAGCTTCTTGTTGATAAGGCAGCAACAACGCAGGACAGTGCATTTCACTTTAGGAAACAGTCCAAGCGCCTTCAAAGAGCCATATGGATGAAAAATGCCAAACTCTTGTATGTAAATTTTTTTCCGTATATGTATAATGTAAAGTATACATTTTAGATTTTGGGAATTGTTTGCAAGTTTGCAACAAAAGGCCTGGCATTTTGCCTTTCTTCTTCTATCCTTGTCTTAACTTATATTTTGGTCTTTGACAGGGCGCTATTGACATGCTTGATTGTTCTGTTTCTTTACTTAATAATTGCTGCTTGTTGTGGAGGCATCAGTCTACCGTCCTGCAGATCCTGATTGATACACTTGCTGGTTTATTTATCTGCTGAGCTTGGCAATTATCACGATGATTCATGTCAAATATTGGTATTCCAGATTCAAATTTATGTGCTGATTGGGAGGGTATGATAAAAGTTCCACAAACAGTGGCATATTTCCTTGCTTATGTCGTTCTTGGTTCAGTATTATAAAAGTATATGCTTGAGCCTGATAAGGTTTTATATTATGATTAAGAGTCATCCTTTTGTAAATATCTGGATTTTACCATACTTAAACATCATCTATGTTTAGTTTATTTTTCTTGCTTAATTTTTTGCATGTTACTTGTATGCATTATATACACGATGATAGCTGAAGATGAGTGGTTTGGTCAAACGGACTAAGTTGGTTCATGCCACGCCACAAGGACGTTGTGTCAAGATTGATTCTTATCTCAAACATAAATCAAAATAAAATTATAATTTGCAGAGTCAGGAGAATGAAGAATGTCCACAATTGGGAAAGCAGGTTGGAATTAGGGTCCATCCAAAATCAACATTTGCTTATATTGACCAAATTTTTCATAGAACTCCCTCATGGAACGTGAAAATATTGAAATGGAGAAAATAACAGAGCTGTCGACAAATTATCTGGCCACCTAACACCGGTGTCTGATGGTAAAATGGAAGGTCGGTTAATGTGCAGCGCTTTCTGCCATAAATCTGTTGCAACTCCCACCCCCCCAAATTGATACAGTAAAAGCACTTGTCAAACACAAACTCACCTTATACTTATACAAGAAACTTTTCACATGCATGTATGAAGATTTTTTTATTGTAGGAGATAAATGTAATTTTACAATGTACGACACAATTCTACATATATTTAATGTTAAACGGCGTGTCTATATCTATCTACTGATTACTGACTCATCAATATTGCTATAAAATTCAATAAATTCAATTTAAAGCTTGCGCCAGAAACTAATGGGAAAGCATCATGTGGAGGGGTGTCACTTTAAGATTCCTATTTGTCTTCATGTTCCCGTTGCCAAACTTAGTTTACTAAATACAATAACTTAGCTTCCTCCATTCTGCATATAGTTTCTTTATACATTTTTCAATCACAGAGAGGGAGAGAGACCATGGACACCCATTTCATGTTATTTTCCCCACCGCCTCCGACCAAGATTCCTCAACTCATCCGCTCAGCCACACCTTCATTCCCTCTTCCCAAAAACCATTACAGAACATCATCTTCAACTTCAAGAAAGATTCTCAGCAGCAACAGGATCAACAGCACCAGCAAGTTTGGAAATTTCCTGAACTTAAAGCCTGAGTACCAACCCGAGGCCTCAGATTTCGACCTTCCATGGTGTCACCCATCTGATCGTGCTCGTTTCGAAGTGATCATCATCGGTGCTGGGCCTGCAGGCATTCGCTTGGCAGAGCAAGTTTCCTGCTATGGAATTAAGGTTTGTTGTGTTGATCCTGATCCTCTCTCTTTGTGGCCTAACAACTATGGTGTGTGGGTAGATGAGTTTGAGAATCTTGGGCTTGAGGATTGCTTGGATAAAACATGGCCTATGGCTTGCGTGTATATTGATGATAGCAAGACCAAGTATTTGGACCGTTGTTATGGCAGGGTTAGTAGGAAGAAGCTGAAAAGGAAATTGATTGAAGGGTGTGTCTCCAATGGGGTTAGATTTTACAAGGCAAAGGCAATGCAAATTGAGCACAAGGAGTTCGAGTCTTCAGTTCTGTGTGATGATGGGACAGAACTGAAGGGGAGTTTGATTGTTGATGCAAGTGGATTTGGTAGTAATTTTATAGAGTATGACAAGGTGAGAAACTACGGTTGTCAGATTGCTCATGGTATTTTGGCTCAAGTGGATGATCACCCTTTTGATTTGGATAAGATGGTTTTGATGGATTGGAGGGATTCCCATTTGGGAAATGAGCCCTACTTGAGAGCTAGCAATTCCAGGTTTCCTACTTTCTTGTATGCAATGCCATTTAATTCCAACCTGATATTTCTTGAAGAAACTTCCCTTGTTAGCCGTCCAGTGTTGTCTTACATGGAGGTGAAGAGGAGGATGGTTGCAAGGTTAAGGCATTTGGGCATTAGAGTGAACAGGATCTTGGAAGATGAGAAGTGTTTGATTCCAATGGGAGGACCTCTGCCCCGGATCCCCCAAAATTTAATGGCCATTGGTGGGACTTCTGGGGTAGTCCACCCTTCCACTGGGTACATGGTGGCTCGAACTATGACTTTGGCTCCTATTGTAGCTGCTGCCATTGCTGAGTGCCTTGGCTCCACCAGAATGATCAGGGGGAAACAGCTTTATGCTAGAGTTTGGAATAGCATGTGGCCAATAGAGAGCAGACTCAACAGGGAATTTTACTCTTTTGGAATGGAGACTCTTTTGAAGCTTGATTTGGATGGAACCAAGCGTTTCTTTGATGCATTTTTTGACTTAAAACCTTATTACTGGCAAGGATTCCTCTCTTCAAGGTTGACTTTTAAGGAGCTTGCTTGGTTAAGCATGTCACTCTTTGGACATGCCTCAAATCCATCCAGGTTTGATATTGTCACAAAGTGTCCTGTACCATTGGCTAAAATGATGGGCAATATCGCTTTGGAATCCATTGGATGATGGAAGGTTGTGAAATGCCTGTACAAGTTTCTTTTTTTTTTCCTCGTAGCTGAACCTACATATTGATTTGTTGAATTATCATTAATCTGATAATTTAGCTGCTAAAAATCATTTCAGTTCAGGTGAATGTGAATCCTTATGCAAATAATAATCTGATTCTTTTATATCTCTGGCTATAGTTCACTGTTCTATGTTACAATTGAAGTTTTCCCTTTCTATAACATGAGTCTCTTTTTTTTGGACATATGGTAGGAATAATTTAGTACAAGAGATAACCTTATATTCTGCTAAACTGAAATTAGAAATAAGACAAATCTAAATTACTGCAGGTGTGTCTAATATCGATGCATCCATATACAACTTGTTTAGCTCTGAAAATGGTATTGCTACAACTATAAGCCTTAAAAAAACATGGAACAATAGAATGCAACAAGAGACAGAGCATAAAATAGAAAAACAGGAATAACATGTGTTGCTGATGAGTTGCAATTCATGAATAACGCAGACACAAATGCCGTAGACAGATAGATCCATTTTACAGGTGGCAGGTGAAGATGTTAAGGATGTTCATGCTTTGGTGGTAGCGGGTGAGATGGTCAGGGTGGTGAAATAGGAGGTATTGTTGGAATGGCCTTATGCACTGGCGGATTCTGGTGAGTGACTCACGGAGCTGTTGCTGGTGGCTCCGTCGAAGTTCCAAGCTCTGGTGGTGAAAGCGGAGGAGCTCCTCCTGGCTGCGAGGTCGGTGGCTCAACCTTGCAGGGAGGAGCCTGTGGTGGCGAATATAATCTTGGAGTTCATCAATAAGGCGAAAGAGGCGGTCCACGTGGCGGCGGCATTGAGGATGAGGGTGGTGGTTGTGGAGGTGGGTCAGCCATGTAGACTGGCGAAGATGGCGGAGGATGACACAAATGCGGTGGAGCGGATAAAAGGGTCGAGCCATGGTGATGGTAGTAGTGCTATAATAGACTAGTATTTGGAATATTGAATGAAGAGGTGTTAAAATTTGGCTATATATATAGAGAGAAGTAGGCAAAAGAGAATTTGCATGCTGATGGTGTGTGCATGTGTGATAGAGAGAGAGAGATAAGAGATTGTGATGTGATGTCAACTTATGCAGCAGCGAAGTGGGGGAAAGTGATATCTGTCTTTAAGATATGGTCTGAATCTATGGACACTGCTAATTTGGTGGCGGATTCATGCATGCTCTGCCATCCAGTTTTTTGTTGTTGCTTTCTACACTTGTCATTCACATTTGGTCAAGCCTTTTGAAGGATCTGATATTGGCAACGTTTGTAAAAATTAAATTGAAAATGGGATTGGTGAGACCTTTGTGTTACCATTTCTTTTTAATAAATATGATAACATGGGTTGACTCGTTAATCCATTACTATAAATTAGGTAGATGAGGTTTAATTTAGTGTCCGTCGCTTCTCATGTGACTGCTGATGAGAAAAGTTGCAGCAAATTTTTAACACTAGGATACACGTGCGGATCCTAGGATACACGTGCGGATTCTATCAAAAACAAAAAAAAACCAGGATTCGGACGCGTATCCTGTGTTGCTGCAAGTTTTCCCTTCTGCAGTCACATAAGAAGTACTTTCCCCTTTAATTTATGGGTATAATAGTTTTCCTGCTACTGGCATCACTTCTCCTGTTGCAAGCATAACTTTTTATGTGGGGTCCTAGTTAAAAAAAATTTGTTGCGTCTCTGCAAGAAGGGGGTGAGTTCTCCGGTGACATGAGAAACTCAACCCCCTTAATTTATATATTAAAATGGATCAATCTGCACTCATATAGTCATATTGTTCTTGGTTAACTCATGAAAGGTTAAGGTTGATTGTGGGTGACAATTTTCAACTCGCCCCATTGATGTGATATGAAAAATTTGTATTCTGGTTAATCTATTTTTAAATTTGTGTCGTGACATGTATTAGAATTTATGTAAAAGATTTCATGGGTTATGAATAAGAAGTGATTTAATAGAAAAAGAAAATAAAGGGAAGATGAAAAGGTGTGTGAGTTATAAAATAAGAAGTCCCACGATGGACAACTAATAAGAGGTGTAAAAGTATATAAGCTCCCGCCTCACACTCTTAGATTGTCCCTTGGGGCACTACACATTTTGTGGAGGAGAGAGAAGTTAGGTGGCCATTAGTCCACCACATACACGTGCCGCCATCCGTTCGGTTCGGCATGTGTGTTAAATAAAAAATAATTTTCTATTAAATTATTTTATTTATTTTTATCCAAGGTTTCGTTTTGAACCGAACCGGTCACCGGTTGTAATGATTCACCGCCATCAGTCGTTCATCGTGTCTTTCCGGTGTCTATATATAGACACCGTTACTCTGCTAGATTTTTGTTCCATCTGTGCATGCATACATCCATACTTTCCGGTGAGATTCCTCAAGCATCCTGTTGTGTTCGTTCAGACTTCTTATGGATAGTGTCATCGTTCTAAAGACGTCAATCTGTTCTATTCTGAGAGATAAGTGTTTATCAACCTTCGGCATCAGTGGGGGACCAAATTGTCTTAAGGAGACAACTTTAGTTGGGCTCGGATTCCGCATACTTCTATTTTTGATCAAGTTAGTCCGTTCTTAGATTTTTATTGCACTTTAATTATACCGTTAATTATTATCTCTGGTATCATACACAGATTCAAATCTATAGGCGAATTTTCACCCATTGTCTTTTACAACAACATATTGCAAAAACTGATCTGTAAAAATTTGTGTCATGTTGCATGTCAACTCGCGGACCCGAAATAGACCCGCTTTAATTTTCTTACAGGTTATTCGTGTTGTGTCGTGTCATAAACAGGTTATTCGTGTCTTATCGTGTCGTGTCGATCCACATAATAAATAAAATAGTTTGGGGCTGACAGGTTATTCGTGTCATGTTGTATCGTGTCAACCTCCATAATAAGCAACATACTATGATTTTGGGGTTATTTGTGTTGTGTCGTGTTAACCCTCAAAATAAACGAGTCGTGTTCGTGTCGAAGATTTTATTCTAATTTCAAATTCGTGTCGTTTCGTGTTAGGTCGACCCATACTTTTATCCCTAAGGTTGATAGACCCACTTTATCATACATAGTTCTATGAATTTAATTGGTTAAAATAGTGGTTGAAGTATGACCTAATTAGACAAGTGTTAAAAAGGGAAATGTGAGATTTGAACCCAAGTCATTGTTAATGTAAATGGAAAATTAGATTTGATGTGTCAATGGTCACCCGCAAATATTGATTTAAATGATAAAAACTTTGTTTCCCTTAACTAAATGTCTGAGTTCAATTTCAGAACAAGGAAAAAATTATATTTAAAGAAATACTCATATAGAAAATAACCATGTTCAAACTAGATTAGTTAAATTTCTCACGAATTTATTGGTAAAATAATTCATAAAATAAAGCAAAATTATTTTTATTTGTGTCATTTGATTTATTGTTACAAGATATAAGTTTTTTTAAAAATATTTCTCTGTTTTGAAATTTTATATTTTCATTAACTTTAAAAGTTAGGTCCAATAAGTATATAATATCTTAAACTCTTACATGATATGACTCCCTATAATTAGTTAAGATAACTGATAAAAAGAGATAACTATAAAAAGGGGATAATTATCTTAATCTAAGTAACCTTTTGCAAGGCCTTGGTTATCCACGCGTTCTAGGTCGTTTGATTTCTCTACAATGGCAATGTGATCAACTATAGAAGTGTTTGACTGTTGGGAAGTAAATCAGATAAAGGAGGAATTGCTAGTGCACTTTGATTGACTTGTAATCTCGAACTTGGCACGTTATTGGATCGTCTCATGTGAGTAGGGAACAACTGCATGCAACCATATTAGGTAGCGCAATTTTTTGATGGGTCATTATTAAGAGACTGTACATTTTTAGAGGCGCCATTAATGTTGGGTAGTGCATTATCAGAGGTGATATTATTGCTAGGGTGATTTCCCAATGGAACAATTGAATTTACAACCATTTGGTGAAGTTATTTTTGATGTTCAGCATAGTGCTTCCAAAGCAGTAAATCTATGTGTCCTTTTTCTTTAAATCCATTTCCTTCTTTGAGCGTTAGGCTTAATGCATTATCTCTCGAGTCTTTAGTGAATTCCCTGACCCATCAAAATTGGTCTTGTCTGCAAAGCCTTGGTTATTAGTGTATTTCAGGCCATTTGATGTCTTTACAATTGCAATGTAATCAACGATTATAAGTGTTTGACCTTTGGGAAGTAAATTAGATAAGGGAGCAATTGCTAGTGCACTCTGATTGGCTTGTAATCTCAAACTTGGCACGCTATTGGACCGTCTCATTTGAGTGAGGAACATCTAGCATGCAACCATATTGGGCACGACAATTTTTGATAGGTTATTATTAAGAGACTATACATTTTTAGAGGCGTCATTAATGTTGGGAGGTACATTGTTAGGGGCGGTATTATTGCTAGGGTGATATCCCAATGAAACATTTGAATTTACAACCTTTGGTGAAGTTGTTTTTTATGTTCAACATAGTGCTTCCAAAACAGTAAATCATGTGTCCTTTTCCTTTAAATCCATTTACTTCTTTGAGTGTTGGGAATCCTGGTCAAAATACACCCCTCCTTTTTATTTGAGCGCTGAGTCTCTCTCTTGGGTTGGGCTTCTAATATTCCTTTCACCCCCAATTCTTTGTGTTGTACCTGATTAGAAACTTGACCATGAGTTGCGTCTATTTCTTCGTTTAGTTGGGGTGGATCATTGGAGATCGAAGCACCATAAGAAATGTCTAGAGGTGTGTGAAGAATCTCTAGGTTCATTTCATCTTCCCACATCGCTACATTCAGAGATAGATTTGACCATTGAACTATGACCTATCTAATAGCATGTCCTCCTCACCAGATCGTATGGTTCAACACCATTGTCATTGGTTTGTGGTTCACTCTCGAGGCTACATTTGACGGAAGGACTTCCGGTTAGGGTTGTTTGCTATTAGGGATATACGACCGTAGCATGGACA